GTGTGTGTGTGTCTGTGTGTGTGTGTGTGTGTGTGTGTGAGAAATTAAATCTAATCAGAAGAGTCTCTAAACATGCAAATTTCTTACTCATGTAATTGTTACATTTGAACATGCACAGCTCAAGCTGTTGTATGTTCACGGCTGGTAAATGAACCAGAAAGAGTTAATGTTAATGTGTTAATGTACAAAATATGACTTACAAACCATCTGAGAGCTGCTTCTTTTTCTTAGGCTTGTCTGATGACAAAATACAAGAAAAAAAAGAATGGAAGGTGAGAACATTCTTTACGACAGGGGTTAGCAACCATATTGTGTTTTATAATTTATATATATATATATATATACGGTATATATATGACCCAACATTGCAAAAAAGTAATATGATTATAAAAATAGCTATGAAAGAACACAAAAACTAACCAAACAAGGTTAAACATAACACAAAAACATAGCAAGGGACAGTGACAAACTCGGAGATATATTCAACACTAATTGGCAAACAACAAATAGGAACTCATTTCAGCTCAGCAATGAATCCGTACTGTATGCATTTATGGCTTAATCTGTGTTTCTGTCTTTACTGCAGCATGAGCAGATGTCAGTTAAAATGTTTAATAAAATTGTGGAGAGTCTGAAGGCTAAGAATGAAGACGTGTTGAAAGAACATGAACTATATGATAAAGATGTCACCTTCATTACAGAGTTAATCAAAGGGGCAGAAAAGTCAGATGTCAAGGTACAAACTGATACTCCAGCTGAATTACTTCCTTTAGTGGAAAATTTTAAAGTGAAACAGACATTCTTTTCAGTGGCCATACAAGGGCAGAGATGAAGACAAATCCTTCCTGTACGAGATCGTGGCAAATAAACAGAACAACATTGATGTGGACAGATGGGACTATTTCACACGGTAAGAATCTAATTAGTATAAGTAAAGAGTTCCTGTCTTTAATCATTTATATGTGCTGATTTTTTATTTATTTTTTTTGTTACTGCATAGAGACTGTCATCACCTCGGCATCCGAAACAGTTTTGATCATCAGCGTCTGCTGAAGTTTGCTCGAGTCTGTAAAGTGAACGGGAGAAATCACATCTGCTTCAGAGACAAGGTGCCTGATTCAATTATTTATTAAAACACATGTAGCAGTTCCAAAGTGTGCTGATACAATTCAAGATTTACCTACACATCTTTAACCTGGGCCCATCTGTTCAAAAATGTAATCTGCACTGTAATCAGAGAAATGCCGTAGGTATTGTTATCTGACCTGACCAGCAGCCAGCTAAGTAATGAAACACTGCTAAATGTAAAAGCATCTAATACAATTCTTAGTGGACTGCTATACTTACATTGGCCTCTAGATTTAGCATGTATAACAGGGATTTGTGAGTTATCCGTGTCTCTTAGAAACTGATGAGTCATCATCATATATGATCAGGAATATATGATAAATACCAATAACTAAACATCTATCTTGCTTTAAAATCTTGACTCCCATTCACTGCCATTATAAAGCTTGGAAGAGCCAGGACATTTTTTAATATAACTCTGACTGTAAGAAAAAAGTCATATAGGATGGCTTGAGGATGAGTAAATCATGGGGTAATTTTCAGTTTTGGGTGAACTATCCCTTTAAGTAAATAATTAAGATAAAAAGATGTATGCACCAAAATAAGATAATATATGAGACGAGACAGCTTTGTTGATTTGCACCAAGTATTTCACATATATAATTCTGAACCAAGACAGATACATTTTAACTCTACTCAAATGAACAAAATGACTTATGAAAACAAACTATTTATTATTTATTTATTTACTTGTTTTTTTTTATGAGTTTCAAAGAAGTCAGTAAAATGATCTATTATCCAAAGTATAGCAACGATTATAAATCTGTCTTTCATAAAAAAATAAAAAAATAAAATAAAAATCTTGGGCAAATACAGACAAAAGGATTCAAATTGTTCATAAATGACATATCACTAATTCATACAATCAGCAATAGGAGAACTAAAGAACAAAACAAAAACACGGAAAAATGAACATGAGTGAACTATCACTAAGAGACAAACAGACAAACAATAACTGCAATATTGTTACAGTTTTGATGCTTCATAGTTTTTATTATTAACAGGAGGCTGATAATGTTTATGACATGTTTCGCACCCGATACACTCTCCATCGCCAGGCCTATCAGCACAAGATCTGCAACATCATTGAAGACATGTGAGTTTCTCTGTCATTAAGAAGATGTGGATTTAAAACAAATTGATACCAAACAGTAGTGATGATGGCATGGTTGTATATCTTCATTGTTATTGCTCTGTGGAATACTTGATTCTGATTGGTCAGTCGTGACATTCCCAGGTATGCTATGTAAGGGATATGTACATCCAGCCGGTTGTCACCGCAGAATAAGCCCCCACAGGGTGATCAGGACCCCGACGCGAAACATTATCCCTTACTTATATACAGTAGTTAAAGTGATTAAATTACTGAAGTAATTGCTGTTGCTAGCAGGTGTGGTTACTCAACTGCAGCATCCTGTATTAGGAGGCAGATAATGTGATCTTAATGTGAGTTAAACTGTTCAACTTCAGTTTGACTGCAGTTTGCTTTGTTTCTGAAAATAACTCTCACTGTAAAAACCCTTTTAGAGTTCAACATCAGGCATTATTAGTCTAATTGTTTCTTTTATTCCCACCTGTTTGAAATATTGATTTATTGATGTGTTGGTATATTGATGTATTTTGTTGTATATTAGGTTCACAAAAGCCCTCATAAAAGCTGATCGTGACCTTCATAAAGACAAACCAGAGGATATGTTCACACTTTCTGAAGCCATACACAATGCTGAGGAATACACCAAGCTCACAGGTTAGGTGAAAGAAAGAAAGTTGAAACTGAAAGATTTTTTAAATTTTTTTTATAAATATAGTTCCTATCTAATTACTTCTCTTGAATAAGCATGTCACTAGTTTTGTGTTTAGTGCTGTACATATCATCTCTTTAATATGTTCTTGGATTTATTGTTTCCTTATTACATGAGCAGACTTTATCCAAATGGTTATCAGGGAAAAACAAAAAAGTTTAATTAGAATACACATCTCTCTCCTCCATCAGATGAGATTTTTGGGCAGATCTTGTCCTCCGATTCTGATAAGCTGAAGGAATCTCAAGACATCTTGAAAAAGATTATCAACAGAGAACTGCCAAAGTTTGTGGGAGAAGCTCGATTAATGGAAGAAAACAAATCAAAGGTAGGCCAGTCCTGGATACAAATGGTTGTACTGTTTTACTTATGCTATATTGTTCATATATAATCATCTGACTTTTTGAGGGGTCTATAAGAACATGATCTGTACTCATCACATTTTTTTATTTTTTATTTTTTTGTATCGACTTGGCAGATGAGTCCTGAGCAAAGAAGCACCAAAACAGTAAGTTCTTATAGTAATGAATGGTATGGAAAGTATAGAACTCTTTGATTTTAATCATTATTTATATAATATCTGAATGATACGATTCAGCACATTCATGGCATCCAGCAATGCTGGATCAAAGCAGTCGCATGAAAAACCCTCCTTGGCTAAGATTTATTGCTACCTGTTCCTCACACTGCTTATTTTGTGAACGCTTTCTGTATTTGAGTCACAATTAATATCTGACTAACCCCTAACTCTCTCAAATCAGCAAATGCAGGAAAAGCTGACAGAAACATGGAAGAAGGCAGTAAAGAAGTACAAACCTACTGACTCTGCTGTTTCTCTGAAGGCTGATGATTTCTCAGTTTATGTAAGTTATGTTGCAAACACTTCACACCTGCCCCAATATTCTCACAAATTAACTCAATTTCTTTCATCTCTTTTTTCATAGGTGGTTGATCTGGGTCACGGCACGAAGGGTAAAAAACCCTTTGACAACATTTATTTCTACAGCAAATGGAACAACAAAGAAGCCTCATGTATTGAGAAGTATCAGGTGCTTTTACACCAAATTATTATTGTTTTGTTACAATAATTATTATTTTTATTTTTACAATTTTAAATGATTCTGGTTTAATATACTTTAAAATTGTATAAATTAGAATTACAAATGCAAACATATTATTAGCACAACATATTGTTGTGCTAACTTCTGCTAGTCAGTCAAACAGTTTTTAATTATTATTATTTTTTTCCTGTTTTCTCCTTTGCTTGCAGCTGTCTAGTTTCCTGCCAGAGACCTTCACTGAAGAGCTTGTTAGGGTGTACTGTGACAAACCTAATGAGAACAGGGTGGAGGAGGCTGATAAGTGCTTTAAGGAGTGGCGCGAATCAAACTTTGGACTCTAATTCTATAAAATGCCCATCTAAATCTCTGTAAGCCCAACTCTGGAGCATTTGAAAGCAAAGTCCTTATTTTGTGCTGCTGGACTTAGTGAGCTGATATTAATATAGTTGTACTTCTTTTAGGTGATATTGGGCAGCCAGACCAAAATCAAGCATTCAGCAGTGCCTTTTTTTATAAAGTGTGGATTTAAAAATGTAGCTCACTTCTTTAAGCACAAATGATTTTCAGAATGATCACTATTCTTTTTCATGTTATGAAAGCTCCAAAATGACAAAAAAGAACCAAAAAGAACTGAAAAATTAGCCCAAATGTGTGCTGTATTCCAAGACTTCTGTTAAAATTTGAACCAGTCATTCATTCGTTATTCATTTAAAAAAAAATAACTCAAAGTATGATGGTGTACTATTGGCCATAACACTTTGAATTTAATTCTTGACAGCCATATTCACCATCAAGCAGATCAGACATTCTGCTAAAGATCACCAGCATCAACTTAATCTGTAATTCCAAAAAAAAAAAAAATGATTTGATGACTAATGAATGGTTTACTGTGTGGCCCAAACATTTTTACTAGGATGCTTTTTAATCAAATATTAAGTTATACACTGAATTTGCAATAATTAGTTTAATCACTTAGCATAAATAGAATCAGAAAATGTTTTAGTTCTTTCTTCACAAATAAAGTAGGACATTTGTGTATAAAGACAGATTTATAGTATTGCTTAAGCAGCTCTATTTGCTTGTTGCTTGTGTTTATAATTCCTACAGTGTGGTGCTGGATGATGGGTATATACATACATATATTACAGTATATTATACATTAATAGGTTTGTTTGGGGAATGATAAATGAATTAATCATTTTACATTATATTATTTCTTTTACTATGTGTGCAGAGATTTGATTAGTATTGTTGTGAGTAATTTTGGGGGTTAGTTTTAGGGATGAGGTTTATCTGAAATTATTTGATTTCATTAATATTTTACCTTTTCCAGTGATGCAGGAGTTCAGTTATATCTCTTTACTGTGATTACAACATTAGTGATATATGGAGAAAAACAATTGCTTGTCCTTTTATTTAGAAACTGTATTGAATCAGCAGCAGTTGTGAAGCAATTATTTATTATCCCTTATCTAATCAATGTAATGGTACTGCTTTTATTTTGTGTCTGTGTTTTTCATACATTAATGAGAGTCTCTCAGGCCTTTAAAAAGCCAGTCGGACACAGACTTTGGAACGAGGGAATGAAGTAATAAACATGCAGGTGCTGGAATTGAAATGTGTTTGCATGTGTCTTGAGTATCAAGTAATTGTTTCAGATCTAATGCTATTCCATGCATTCTGACTTATTTACACTGTTAAAGAGGTAGATTATCATGCTAAACACTCCTATAATATATATATATATATATAGTTATTGAACAATATCAATTTACAAACTCAAGTGGGGAACAATAATATACATTTGAAAATATACACACATTGCACATAAATGTCCGTGTGTGTGTGTGTGTATATATATTCAGAGGTGGGTAGTAACGAGTTACATTTACTTGGTTACATTTACTTGAGTACATTTTTTGGGTAATTAATACTTTTGGAGTATATTTAAAGATGAGTACTTTTACTCTTACTTAAAGTACATTTTTAGTTAAAAAACTGTACTTTTACTTCGTTACTGTGGGCGACGCTCCTCTCGTTACTTTATCTTAATGCATGAATCAGTTTGAATGATTCATTCAGTTCCCTGCCGCACGCGCCGAGTCGTCTGAAGCGGTTCTCTCTCAGAGTTGTAACAGAAAGTTTAAGAACATCAAGAGCATTGAAGACGTGGCTTTAGATCTACAGTCAATTGAAAGCAAATCTGCAAAGTCTATTGTTTGCTAGCTAAGAAGATCTTTATTAGATGAACACCGCGTGTGCTGTCTACGGTTCAACAGGTATAGATATAGGCTACATTCAATTACAGTACACGATACCACTATGACATTACCAGTTTGTTGTACGTGTAACTTATACATTAAATGCAATGTATAATTTTTTACATTAAATACGCTGCCACAGAGTATGAAATGAATACCAGTGGTGGACAGTAACGAAGTAGCTTTACTCGTTACTGTACTTAAGTACATTTTTCAAGTATCTGTACTTTACTGGAGTAGTTTTATTTTGAGTAACTTTTACTTTTACTTCACTACATTCCAAAGCATAAGATCGTACTTTTTACTTCACTACATTTCATAAAACGTATCGTTACTCCTTATAATATATCACGT